TATTTCTTTGTTGTAACAATGCTTCTTGGCAATAAATCTTATATCAGGCATCTGACTGGCAGCACCTATGGTACCAGAAGCTCAAAACAAGAGTTTATAACAACAGCAAAATTAGCTGTTTGGCAGCAAACATTTGGTAATTTTTTTTCATGTTCACAACCCACATACACAGCTCTACTGCTCATCCTACAAATGCATGTTCCTTACAATTGTACCACCATTTAAAAGTTGTTACAAGATTGTTACAACAAAGATATGAGGTACCAAACACAAATATCCTCATTTTTTTGTGCTAAGTATAGACGCAGATGCAAAAAAGCTCCAAAGTGTAATTATAAATTCATCTTCTGAAACATACAGGCCTTTATAGATGTAACAAATATCAAAAGTCTAATTCAGAGATTCTACCATCTTTTTTTTGATCAGGAAATGCAAAAGCAGCTAGCTTGCAAACTTGATTTATTATTATTATTTTTGCTTTAGATGGACATCCATCCATCCATTTTCTTCTGCTTATCTGGGGTCGGGTTGTGGGGGCAGCAGCCTGACCCAGACTTCCCTCTCCCCAGCCAAAGCTCCTCTGGAGGAATCCCAAGGCGTTCCCAGGCCAGCTGAGAAACATAGTCCCTCCAGAGTGTCCTGGGTCTTCTTCTGGGCCTCCTCCCAGTGGGACGTGCCCGGAACACCTCACCAGGGAGGCGTCCAGGAGGCATCCTTACCAGATGCCCGAGCCACCTCAACTGGCTCCTCTTGATGAGGAGGAGCAGCGGCTCTACTCTGAGTCCCTCCTGCATGACTGAGCATCTTTATTTGTAAAATAAAATAAAATAAAATAAATTGTATTTAATCTAAGGAGTAAAAAGTTGTGTCATTGTCATGGTTTCATTTTTGGTAAAGTTGCCTTTAATCTCATGCAGATTTCCTGAAAACTTTCATTCATTTTTATTTCTTTTGCTTATTTAAAAGGACAGTTCACATGAATTAATATTAAAGATTATAAATGTGCCAGAACTGACACAACATTTATATTCCACTTGTTGTCCGGAGCAGGAAAAAATAAAAAGTAAAAACGAGACTTTAATTTAACCAGATTAGTCAGATGAGGAAAAAAAAACTTGTTTTTATCAACAACCTGACAAAACAAGCAGCAGAAAACATCTTTCTCAAATTTAAAATACTGGTGAGAAAGAACATTAGCCAAACCTTTAAACCACTTTAAAACACATTACAGATAACTGACAGAACATTGCTTCAGAAATGATCAGACTATCCCTTTAATAGTGCAATATCTGTTTTACTCAGTCTGTTTTTCATTGTGAACCCACTGCACTTTACATGTAGGCTGCAAACTAATAAATAACCTAAAACATAAAAACATATATTCAGATAGGGGTGGGATCATTTGCAGATGGGTGGCTGAGATGAACACTTTGAAGCTGCTTTTTGCAGCTACAATTTAACATCTCTCTACTGCCGGGGAAAAGCTCGACTCATCCAGGCTTCACGTCTGAAGTGATCATATAAATGTGAATAACTCAGCAAACCCACAGTGAATACTTCATCATGCCTTTGTTCTCCTCAGCAGGAACACGCTCACCGTTTTTAGTTCCAGTCAAGAGCCTACAGGAAACACATGGATTATAAATAAAATGCCCTTCGGCAAACTCTCTGAGCTGACATGAATATTTCAATCAGCAGCACTTAAACATAACACGATCATCAGGAGATGGAGGGGCATGTCAGATCCAACAGGACCGCTGAGAAGAAGCTACAACACCTTCCTTTGGAGTGGTTCTGATCATTGTCTCGAACAGATCAAAGATATGTCACAGAACAAAAGACTGGAAAAATGAGAAAAACTCAAAATAATAGCATTCCTTGACAGAACTGTTACTACTCCACTGCCTTGCAATCCACAATTTTAAGCAAAGCACTAGAATGATCATTTAGCGCTCAAAGTGTTGGAGATGACTCTCAGTCACTACCACACAAAACTGTTATATTAGTACATATATATA